CGACCTTGGTTGGATGCAGTTCGAGTGAAATCGAGGATTTGTTACTAACAGCAACATTAATAGGCCACGATTATCTAGTTACAACGTAACACTGTTTGGGGTATGCTGACCTAAAGCTTTGCCAAAGTTATCAATTCGTGCGATGCGCACGCAACTTCACAGTTTCTGTCATTATCTCATTGACGCAGGCGCATCCTGATGAGATGTATATGCCTCAAACCCCTCTTGGTAACACTTGTATGTAATTTCACATTCTTCACCTTTCCCTGATTGACTTATTGCACCCCAGTTTGAACACGATGTGAAGCAATGCACCATTATCATTGAGCTGGGAAGAGGCTGCCGTTGAATCTAGAGGAAGAGTTCCTGCAAACGCTTGTACGAGTTCTCCAGCCCGTATGACACTACATCGGCTTCGTATGCTTGTCTCTGTACCTTACAAGATCTCACAGATGTCTTCAGCAAACCTTATGACTCTTACTACTTCCGTACATATCCGTGCGGTATGGTCATTCACTGTCTGATTTTGGATTACAACACGCAACCTCTACCATTCACTACTTAGCAAACGAATCGCCTGTGACATTATACGCATACAAACACTGTGACTCTCTTATACACGGTTGCCCCTGCTCTCTGGATTGATCGAGTCCTTTATCGCCTCTGTGCTTTACACTACGCACTCACTAGCAGTCCAAGATTCTTCAACCCGCTTAGCCCACAAACACTCCAAACACTAGCGAACGGACAAACAAACTGATCACGCCATAGTTTAGTCAACCGGATTCCAGAAAGAGTTGAAGGCCAACATGACGTCGTTTTTCTCCAGGCCAGTTGCTCCTACATGGACTTCCAGATGCCAGAATGCAGCGCCGCTCTTGTCGTCACCAGCGCCAGCGACCGCATCAAGTGCTGCGCATGAGCTTTGCGACTCCCCAAATGCATTCGATCGTCCAGAAATCCAACGGCTTATATCATGGGAGATTGTACCTTGTCTACATCGACTACCACCCTCCCCCGTTCCCAGCCGTTCACCGAGCCCTGCTCCCTCTGTCTCAGAACAACAACCCTCAGAAGACATGCTTCGCGAAGACTCTCCAGATACAAGGCCAGAGCTCTCATCATCTGACTCCTGTCCCCAAATGAGCACTTCTTGGATATCCTTCGAAGAGATAACACACACTGAAGCCACCTACCCTCCTGAATACACAATACCCTTTGAGTTTGATACAGAAGCTTTCCCTCCTCATGCGCATCTCTTTCCCTCCTCACCAAACGGCACATGGCGTAATGAGTCCGTCCACGCTTTGACGCATCCTACAGCTGTTGATTACGCAGCGCTGTATGCGAAACTATGTACACTGGCCGAGGAAGCAACGGATGAGTTCGCTGCAAGAGTAAACCGAGCATTCGAAGGTAGGGACGTACCGGCAATGCACGATAAGGTTATGCAGATCTTTCCTTCGGTCTCGATGCCGGATATGAGAGATATCGAGAAGGCTATAGATACTGGGTGTGACTTGGGAGAGGAACTGTTTGAGCACAGAGGACGGAGGAGGATCAGAAGGTGGCGGCGGTAAGTGAAGCGTAGGCAGAAGCTCAGTGGAAAAAGGAATAAGTGGTCCATGACCACATTGTTCAAAACATCAGATCTTGGCAGCCGGAGGAATAGTGAAGTTAAATATTATATTACGTTAAGTTGTCTTCAATGCCTGAACGGCCCTTTGAGAGAAACGAACATTAATCTAACGAATCAGCGTCGCGGCCGCCATGAACCCCCTCGCTAAATCAACAGTTTTGTCTATACCGTAGTCGTACCAAAGTCTGTCTAATCCTCTCTATGAAGACTACCTGCCCGTTGACGCATGGCAGAGTGTGGGTGTGCAGCCTCTTCCTCGTCTCGGGGTCCACCAGCACCACCCTCCATAGGACCTCCAGCCTGCATGCCACTCGGTGTTCCGCCAAAGCTGACCAACACAGACGGGTTGTCTGCGGTTAGGGCGTCCAATACGTCCAACTCGTGTGCCGTGAACCATTTTGGCATCAAGAAAGTGCGTAGCGGGATAAGGGCGATGATGAGGACCGGGAAGCCGATGGCGGCGATGGTTTGCGAAATCGCGACTGTGCATGCGACGCCGAGTATTTGAAGGCCGATGAAAAGCCGAATTTTGTTTCGGGAGACGCGGTTGAGCGGGTTATCGCGCTGTATGAAGCGTTTCTCCGACATGAGGTAGAGCGCCTTGCTAACAATGCCGTTGGATTCTATGGAGCCCCACTATGAAGAGATTAGCATATCGCATCGAGCTTGAAGATGGAACAACTCGTACACCGACGACGAAAAACACACCAGCAAAGACTGCTGCGGGCATGGTGTGTAGTACGATAAGTAAGGGACCGGTCATGGTACCCCAAATGGCCATACCCATCAAGAAATGACTGATACGCTGCTCGACAACAGCAGTAGCCTTGACAAATGGCTTGCGGATCTCACCACCGTCTTCCGTTTTGGTGATCTCCAGCCTAGTTTCGTAAACGGTCAAAGAGTCTGTGTGTACCGGTGCTTGCGGAACCAGGCCGTTGGGAAGTGGAAGGCCGATGATGCCACCGACAAAGCATGTGCAGCCGAGAAGGAAAAAGTCCCAGTGAAAACCAGCGGGCTTTTTGAGGGGGTATTGGCGGGCCTGTGCGGTGAGGGATGACACATTCTGTTGCCAATGGTTAGTGTTCGCGTTCGCCAGTACTAGAAGACGTGTATGACTTACGTGGTCGTAGTAGAACAACAGCATCATCAAGAAGCCAAATGGCAAAGCCACGAATACCCACTTGACGTCAAGATTCCAGAAGTCAATTACCCAGTTTCTATCCTGCGTCGGTGCAAAGGCCTTGCCGATAGGCACTCGGTATAGCCCAGTCTCCTCCAGACGTCCAGGAATATGCGAGAAACCGACCCAGAACAGGGTAGGGAAGACGAAGGAGTAGTCGGCGATGATGCTACGAATGCCTGGGGTAAACACCGTACTGCTACCAAGCTTCTCAAGGCCATAGACGGAGCCGAAGTAACATATCGCAATGACGATGGAGAGGTAGCCACCGTCAAACCCGGATTCTTGGAACAGATATACTAGCTCTTCAACACCCTTGACTGCATTTAGGTCAATATCGTGTCTTGATATGGCCAGTGACGAGATACATACCACAGTAGATAATTCCTACGTACATGCCGAACGTCTCACTCGAGAAGTCAGTGACATAGGCCATGTAGTCGCTGAAGTTTCCGAAGGCTACGATCCAGTGAAAGATAGCAGCCCAAATTCCAACCCACGCGGTGAATGCTGGATAGATGGAAGGGTCATATTGGGTAACAATGTCGTAGATGGTGTAGTTGAAGAGCGCGATCAGACCAGTGACTCCTACGATGGTGAGGGGTTGGCACGCGAGCAGACTAAACACCATGGCTGCTAATGCGGACGAAAAGAGGGCTTCATTGATACCAAAGAACCCGCCCGTTCGACGGTACATGTCGAGTGTGAACGCAATGGCAGGTAATACGCTATATTGGTCAGTCTGAGACTTGAGCGTCTATCGCGATAGGCTTACTTTACGAAGTACATGCGAATTGTACTGGCGAAAGCCCTATACGTGAGAGCATCGGTTATGTCGCTCCAGTAATAAGGTAGTCTCCTCTTGACATCGTGATACATGCCGCGACCAGGTTGGAGAATGCGCCATCTCCGCCATCCTCTCGCGCCTTGGAAGGTGTACGATTCGTGTGTTGCGGTCCTCTCTAGTATCTCCTTGCTGTTCGAATTTGTCGCGTCTGGCGAATCCATGATGACGGATATGCAAGTTGAATGGACCACAAACGGGCAATGGATGCGAAGCCGCAGAAACTAAAGCTGAAGGAAACCGATCGACGCAATAGATGTGTGCATAGTTTGATCCGGACCCTGAGCATCTAGTCTATATACGCGGGATCAAGTCCAATTACAGAAGCCGGCGCACTACGGCCCCAATGTCATAGCTAAGCTTGGCATCTGTGGAGATCGAGGGTTTGCCATCGATGGGCGGACTGCTTGTGCGCGGAAGGAGACATGATGATGATGCTTACCTAGGTAGCATGAAGACATTAGACAAAGGCGGATGCTTGTCTTGAACGACAGCCTATGCGCTTCCGACAGGATTTCGTTGTGGTTGTTCGCGATAAGCATGTTCATTGTTGAGACATGTTTGGTTGTTTGGTGACGTCTGCCGGAGTAGAGGCCTCGCGCACGTGGTTAGCGTGGCCGTTAGTTCCCGTGCCATGCTGAGGAAGGTCGCCATTAGCCCTGTGTTGCATGGGAGCTAAACCACTCGAGAACCCAACAGACACCATCAGCCCTGTCGCCTGCGGCTTTTTTCTGTCTGCTCGAGCAGCAAGTTCGATGGTCTGGGTCAACGTGCACGTTACAACCCAAACTCTGCAACCACGACCATCGTCTGCATGGCACCGTGCAGCTGTGACATTACTTCCAATTGGTCCAGACGTCTGTACCACACCAAAATGACGTACACGGCTCGCCGAGCGTATGACTGACGCCAAGCGCCATACCGCACGCGGTCAAGAGCGTTTCCATTCCACCCCGGTATCTTTAACAGCTGCTTGAGCAGAATTTCCATCGGCATCGTCACGTTTCCGCGCGCTCCTATTGCGGCATATAGAAAGAGGTGAACAGAGTCGCGACATTGCGACATTCGATCCGGTTAGACTTCGGACAGTTTGTTCAGCCCATGAACAGTCCACCGACCTTCCATTACCGCACGTCTGTAGCGAGTGTTGTTTCGCATACTGAGGTATTTCTATGGTACGGAGATACCTCCACTGTAAAACTTCTAGTGGGCATCGTGGTAGGTTTTAAATATATCACCCACCTACCCGCGCAATGCTCAAGCTTCTTAGCGTCCGGTGTCAACTCCACAGGCTTAATTAATCGTCCGGAGTCTTATCGATATACCTCCTTAAAATGAACGCTCTCCAGGACGTCGATGGACTTTCAGAATGCATCGGCAAGGCGATCCAGGAACATCTTGCTAGATTCAACATCAACATTGCATGGCCGCAGCTCGACAACCTGGATCATCCCATCCTTCGTGTCGAGGCTTTTCTTGAGGAAGCCGATGCCACCCATGCAGCGAGAGCGCAGTCCGAAAAGATCGCATCGGTGAGTTACGTTCCCACCACACTCCCACTGCCAATGTGCAGTAGCGTATGCTCACGCGTCCACAGAGAACCGTCGATCTGGCGGGCATGAGGACGCCAGCCCCCACAGCAAGCCCAGCCGCAATGGATCTTCAGAACTTTGATGAGACCTCGTCAATGGATGAGTCTCATTCGCGGGACGAGTCGTCCTCGTCGGTACAACAACCCCGCGAGCCCCGCAGGAAAGGCACTGGCGGTCTGAGGGTCTCGCACACTCAGTCGTCGTTTCAAGAAGATCTGAGCGAACACCAACGGCAAATGCAAGTCGATAGCCGCAGCTTCCCAAAGCGGAAGAAGGTACGTGGATTTTCCTAGGCGACATCGTTCTCTCAGGCACTCGCCAGACCCTCAATGGGGGTACGAGTGGGCTGCTTTTTCTTGCACGAAATACGCGGTGCACATATCCTCACCCATGTTGACCTAGCTAATTATCCCAGGTAGCATCGGAGAAGTTTGTCTTCCAACCCTCTACTCTAGACAAGCTTATCATCGGCATCTGGGAGCAAGTACACAGCACGCTCAACCTCGATCCGAAAGCAATCTTCGAACAATTCCAAGTAACGCCCAATGGATCCTCCATGAGTATGGGCATGGTCGGCCATGCGCACACCGATGAAACACCTTCCGCTATGGCAGTACTCAACAACGCTCCGAATCCGATATCCGAATCCTTCAGTCAGATGAACGTCTTTTGTCGCAAAGTTACACAAGCGAGTCGCGTATGCCGATCCATCGAAATGATCGTACAAGCCCGCTGGGTCGAGCTGTTTGAGGAGCAGGTGCTATACCGGAGCCAATTGAGACCAGAGCTGTCAACAACAAAGCATAGGAAAGCTGTGTTCATGGAAGCGTGTCAGGACTTCGATTGGTCGGAGTAAGTACATACACCTGGGATTGCGCAAGCATCTTAGATCGCATTCGCTGACTGCTGTGCCACTCCAGAAAGGAACTGCGCAACAAAATGGCTATTTGGCGTGGCTACAAAGAAGTGAAGGATTCAGCAGGCTGGGCTGCACTTGTCTTCGCTGGCATGGGCATATACCGGTTCTGCAAGTACCGAGTTGGTTTCGATAAAGATGCCATGCGCCGGCTACGGAATCTGCGAAAACGTCTCGAAGTCGCGGCCGATACCCTACATCCCCATTGGCGCCAGCTCTTGTCTATAGTAGGCGAATCGCAAACGCTGCAATACCCTGGACATCCGCACGACTGGGTAGTTTTCGAAGACGGATCAGATCCTGTGCCACTGCGCCAAACGTATCTGCTCCAAGACCCTTACTTTGCCTTCGAACACATCGACGAGTCGATCATCGATGAATCAGTTTGGGGATGCGAAGACCCACGCTGGACACCACAGTCGAGCGCAGTGACAAGACCAGGCGGAGCCTACATCTGCGCTTTGTGTAACGAGCCGCAATCCGACAAACCGCAAGACAACTCCTGTTTCTGTTTCCCGACCCTGTTTGGCTGTGTAAAGCGAAAGCCACCACCTGTTCAGATCCTGCGGACTTCCGATGGGAGAAACAACGGTCTAGCTGCATTGACCTCCTTCGACCGTGGTACAGCAATCGGCGAGCTGGTTGGCCTGATCACAAACGGTGTTAGACATCTCGATGTGCTGGATAGCTCAACACCCCTGGCCAGCTATCAGATCTGGCAAGGAAGGGCAGGAAACTTCACTCGCTTCATCAACCACAGCTGTAAGCCGAATGCGCAATGCTCTACATTCACTTGGATAGATACCCAGAGGGTGGTTCTGGTCAGCAAGGGGATAGATGCGGGAAGAGAGATTACATTGGACTACGGAGACAAGTATTGGGCTGGGCTAGACAAGAGCTGTCTATGTGGAGAGAGTTGTTGCAGGTATCGGAGAGATGGAAGGATGAGATAACATTGTTGGAAGCGACTTGCTATGTTTAACGCACACTCGATAGAACACAGCGATCTTTTTAAACACCTGATATGTTCGAGCTGGGGCAAACGTCATTTTGGTGCAATAGTCGCAAATGTTGGGTCCAGACGTGAAAGGCGCGTGTTGCAGTATCGATAAGACTAGCGCGACAGACCCCTGCACAAAATTTCGGAGACACTCGAATCTAAACTATCGGCGTGTCTGCGAAACATCAACAACAACCATGGCGACCTCCGATTACAGCGAGTCCGGCGCATCAGACCAGGAGATACTCGAGGCGCAATCTGGGGCCAGAAAGAGAAGGAGACTGTCACCGACCGAGCCTGAGAGTTCAGCTTCCGAGGCTGAAGCTGAGAAGCCGCTGCCAGTAGCAGCACCAACGATCTCGCGCATCAAAGCGAAACAGCAAGACAAGTCGACAAATGCTACCATTTCTGCACCTAAAGTCAACCCGAAGCTGGATTTTGCAACGCTCAATGTAGCACCATGGCTTTGCACCTCTCTGGCCAGCATGGGAATCAAGCGCCCAACGGGCATCCAGGCCTCGTGTATCCCTGAGATCCTCAAGGGGAAGGACTGTATTGGTGGATCGAGGACCGGTACGGGTAAAACTGTGGCCTTTTCTGTGCCGATAATGCAGAAATGGGCGGAGGACCCAAGCGGCATCTTCGCCGTTATCGTCACGTGAGTAGAAACCATTGCTGCCATGTGGGCAGTAGCTAACCGCCATACAGACCCACCCGCGAGCTCGCGATCCAGATTTACGAACAAGTGAAGGCAATTTCAGCGCCGCAATCTATGAAACCCATTCTCATCACCGGAGGATCAGACCAGCGTTCTCAGGCCATCGCTCTCGCAACGCGTCCCCACGTCGTAATCGCGACACCAGGTCGTCTAGCAGAGCACATCCGCACCTCAGGTGAAGACACCATCTGCGGCCTCCGCCGCGTGCGCTTCGTCGTCTTCGACGAAGCCGACCGTCTTCTCGCCCCAGGAAAAGGCTCCATGCTCCCCGATCTCGAGACGTGCCTCTCCGCTCTACCCCCCAAAGAAACGCGGCAAACCCTCTTATTCACCGCGACCGTAACTCCAGAGGTTCTAGCGCTGAAATCGCAACCGCGCGCACCGGGTCGTCTTCCCATCTTCGTATCGGAAGTCGATACAGAGGATCTAGCAATTCCGCCCAAGCTACAGCAAAGGTATCTCCAAACGCCTGTCACGCACAAAGAATGCTACCTGCACGTCCTCTTGAACACGCCCGAGAACCTCCAAAAGAGCGTCATAATCTTCTGCAACCGAACCAAAACAGCGACGCTACTAGAATACATGCTGCGTCTCCTCGCCCACCGCGTAACAGCCCTCCACTCGGGCCTCAAGCAAAACGACCGCGTAAGCAACCTCGCTCGCTTCCGCGCACAAGCCGCTAGAATACTAGTCGCCACCGACGTCGCAGCCCGCGGTCTAGATATCCCAGAGGTAGCTCTCGTTATCAATTTCGACGTGCCCCGTGACCCAGACGATTACATCCATCGTGTTGGTCGTACGGCGCGTGCGGGCCGTGTGGGAACGAGCATCACGTTGATTGGACAGAGGGATGTGGAGTTGATTCTGGCGATTGAAGCAAGGGTGGGCAAGAAGATGGAGGAGTTTGAGGAGGAGGGTGTTAGTGTTGAAGGAAGGGTTGTGAGGGATGCGCTTAAGCCGGTGACGGAGAAGAAGAGGGAGGCGCTGTTGAGTATTGAGGAGGGGAGGGATGTGCTGGGGAAGCGCAAGGTGGGCATGCAGAGGAAGCGGGCGGAATAGTTGTAGATGTGTGGTTGGGTGTATGGTAGATGGCGTGGAGGATATTCAAATAATACACATTGTATGCTCTTCGCTAGAACGCTGTAAATCGATACATGAAACAAGGTACGTTACTCATAACACTTGGCTGCTCACGGCGATCCCTTCCTTGGCCTGAATACTGTGTTGAAGTCTCTTTGCGTAACGAACCAAGCGTTGTGAGTCTTCCACTCAGCATCAGGGCGCTCGAGCTCGATCTGCAACCAGTGTTAGTTTCGTCAAATTCTTGGGAGCGTCAGTAGCGAGACTTACCTCAAACCTCCTCAGGAAACTCGGCACCAGCTTGTAGATCTCAAGAAGACTGATGTTCTTCCCGATACACGTCCTAGCTCCAGCACCAAATTGCAACATGGTGCCCTTCATCTCCTTAAGCTTATCTGGACTAGCCTCAACCCAGCGTTCAGGGCGGAAAGTATCGACATCTACACCGAACACCTCCGGTCGGCGGTGGACGATCCAAGCGTTGCATCCGACAATGGTTCCACCAGGAATGAATTCGCCGCAGATCTGCATACCCTGCTTGGGTACGACGCGCTCGAGGATGAGGCCAGGTGCAGGATGGAGACGGAAAGACTCTTGAATGACAGCGTCGAGGTAGGTGAGCTTCTGGGCTTCGGGCCAAGAGACGGTCTTGTCAGGGCGAGACTCGACAATGCCATCTGCTACAGCGGTATCCAATTCTTGCATAAGCTTCGCATAGACGCGCGGGTGCTTGACGAGGAAGTAGAAGACGGCCGAAAGCGAGATGGCGGTTGTTTCTGAGCCAGCGAACACCATAGATGTGCATGTCGAAAGGATGCGGTTATCGTCCATGAACTCATGGTCGTGGCTTGCTTGCGCAAACTTGGAGAGGAGGTCGATGCCGTGAGGGTTGGCTTTCTCGTCGTCGGAAAGACCGAAACGCTTGATCTTCTCGACTTGTGTGGCTCGCTCGTTGGATCGGTTCAGGGCGAAGAGGGTGACGGGGTGGACACGCTTGTCCAGGCCGATGCGCTGTGCGAGGAGGCTGATGGGGTTCTTCCAGAGAAGACGGTCGAGGATAGGAATTTGACCGACCTAAAACGCGTAAGTATGACCCCATGCATGCCAGGTTCTGCTTGCGACGACTCACCGGTGCGACATAGTCAAAGAACTTGCCCAAGAAGCCAATAATGTTATCCACGTCCTTGTTTCCCTCGACAAAACCCAGTCGCTTACTCCACGTCAACTCGCCGATAACGTCGAAGGCGAAGAACTGCAGCCATTGACTGAAGTTGCAGCTCTGGCCAGTTCTCGCGTACATGTCCTCTGTCTTGTCCAGCCAGTATGTGAGCGTCGAGCTGACGAGAGGCTCGTAGTTGACGAGCGAACTCATGGAAAAAGCGTTGTTGACGCATCGGCGGTACTTGGCGTGGAAGTCTTCGTCGGTGGTGGAGAAGAGGGAGAGCAGCGGTGCGCCTTTGGAAACGGCGCCTTGGACGGGGTAGAAGTCAGACTGCAGAGATTAGCTATCGCTCAGTAGATTAACAGACATATGCATACCTTGGTAACACCCCTGTTCAGCCCATAGATAGCTTTGATAGTCTTTGGGTCCGCGAAAGACAAGACGTTCGGTCCCAGCCTGACGATGTCTCCATGCTTGCGATGCAACGCGAGGTTGGTCCATTGATGATTGTGCTTGGACACATCCCACAGCCGCCACCAGTTGGTGTATCCCGCAGCCCAATGTCCAGGGTATTTGTTCAGGCCGTTCCAGTACTTGTTGTTGAGGAGATATGCGATGGTAGTCGTAGCCAGAACAAGCGGCCAGTACTGCACCAGCAGCGGCACGATCTCGTTGGCCAGCATGTCGCGCGATCAATCTACCCGGTAATAAAGGATTCGATCCGGGGTCCAGATAACAGGAGCACGTGAGTAGGTATATAGCAGAGTAAGCAGCGCGACACGTATAGAACGCTCGCCCGGGGCAAAAGCTCATATAAATGGCAGCCTGGAGCGGCTTGGAAGGATGACGCGGGGACAGTAGCTCCGGGGCGCTTTCGCGGGGTAAACCTCGTCCATCACGCTGAACGCCCATCCTCAGCCCTATTCATTGGCCTCAAAACTCGGTTATCGCCATGCATCCAATTTATCTACTTGGCTCTGATTGGCTAAATCGCCTGTGTATAACACCACGCGGGATTGAAGTGATCGCAAACCCAAGTCTTTCAGAGCGCCTCAAGATTCCGCGCAGCATCGCCAATGTGCTCTGTGCTATTCTTGAACTGCCGATTATCGTCACTTCGACAGCTAAACCTTGTGTGAGACGATAGCGAGGGTTTGTGGACCTTGACCGTGTCGGCAGTTGTATTCGAATGTCATAACTGCAACTGCCGATATCTGAAGAGGGAATGGGCGCCGAAGCCTCCGAGGCCTCGTCACGTGGCCCCGGCTACATCTGGCCCTCGGCTGTCGTACAACCTTTCCAGCAGTCTGTGAGAATTATGAAATCTTCTTTCAATGTTCGTGCGAGTTGTAGGTGCATTCGACGATCGGCAAGAATGTGCGCAATCTGTGAGCAATGCATCGTCTGATAACAAGCTCATTAGAAGCCCAGATCGCGGAATACGCGCATGGGTTTTACCGCAATGGTGGACAAGCTAAGTGGCATGTCTTGCATATGAACATGGGCAAGACCTAACTGCGTAACCCGGATATATGCAAGCGCAGCAGAGTCTCGACGTCAGCGGCCCTCCCGCACTTCACTTTCGCCTTCACCACATTCCGTAACACGAGATATACTCAAGTATCTAGTGAATCCTAATAAGAGAAGTAAAGATTGAGTCGGATTCGTGCATGAAAGAGTTACGATCAAAGCTTTGTATTGCTAGTATAGGGTATTACTTCTTCTTGCACAATGTTGTGTGATGCAGAAGTGTCGACTACCATCCACAGCTTAGCTGGTGTTGAACCAGACTGAAGCCATCCTGTGCCCCAGCACAATAAAACTATACTAGAAAGACGAAGACCAAAAACCTGGTCCATCGGGGTGGGTGGCCGCTTAGCCAGTGCACTGGTAATCGTAGTTCATGCGCGAAGCATCCGTATCCTTGGGAACATAAATAGTAACCCGCCTCCCATCCGCCTCAAGCGTACCCACATACGAGTCGAAAAAGGGACGCCAGTAGACCTGACCAGTTCCACCAGGGCAGTCAATGTTGATGGTAACAGACGTGGTGCTAGTCATGGTCGTCGAGAAACCGGCGGAAACGCCAATCTCTGCGCTGACTGCGTCCCATGCACTTGCACCCAGACTGGCGCTTGCCGTGATGGAAAAGGTCTCTGACTTTGCCTCTGAGACTGTGTAGGCGCCGTTGTTGGGGACTTGGGCGACGAAGACGGCGGAGCCGGGCATGTAGACGTTGTAGGATGTGACGACGTCTGAGAACCTGTCCGCTTGCTGCATCGTGATAGGTTAGCTTTCGGAGGGAGAAGGTGATGAAGCTGGTGTACATACCCGGCTCTCCAATCCATTGACTTCAGGTGCCGCGGCAATCTCCGCCACCAGGCTTTGAAGCTCAGCCTTGTTCTCCTCAACAGTGATCTCCTTGTAGCTGGTTGCTGTAGCCGTAGACATCAGGCGCCATTCAGTGGCAAGCCTGATGGCGACCTCAGTCCAATCCGCAGGCGGAGCTGGTGACTGGTAGCCGCCCGTATCCTCTGCGCAACCATTTTCGATGGCTCTGGCTCTTCCACCCCAGCTAGAGGCAGAATCGCAGACTTCATACTCCTCGTTGTTGCAGAATGAGATACGGCAGTTGCCTCGCGTCCAGATGCGGCATTCTCTTGGGATGACGCACACACTCATGTCTGGGTTGGTGCCCTCGCCAAAATAGCCGTTGCCACTCATGATGTTGCGGCCTGTGCATTTGCAAGAAGCATCAGTCTTGCTCTTCTATGACGAAAAGGATGAAAGCAAGGAGGGTCGGAGTACTCACAGTCAGCCCAGTTGGGCTGCAATCTTGCCTCGCAGAAGATACCGCCAGTTTGCGTTCCGTCCCAGTCCTCTTGACGAGGAGCAATTGGGGAAGAAGTTCCCATTGCCGCAAGCATCGGCAAAAGGGTGAGAATGTAGTTCATCATGTCGAAGATGGAGTCTTGAGGTCGAGGATGAACCAGGTGATATGAGAAGAAGGTGTTTGGCTGTGATGATGATTTCGAGAGCAAACCAACACCTCTTTATACCTTTCTGCCCTTCCATCTACCTCACGAGCATCCGTGTATGTAGCGTCATGGCTGGCCTGACTATGCACAATGTCTACTATCGAACATGGGATATGGTTTGCCTTGAACGTGAACCACAGCTCTGAGCTCTACCGATTGGTGCTCTCGTACACTATCGTTGATGTGCATACCTCTGGGGCCAGAAGTAATGCGCTACTCAGAGTATACGATACTTGGCTGCTGTCATCCAGTGTCTTAGAACGATTGTCTAAGATTAGCAGAGCCTCTTGCCAGGCAGAAGCATCCGAGTTTCCCGGTGGTGGTAGATTTGGGGGAGTGGAGAAGGTGCTGGAATGAAGACCTCAGATATCTCGATCGCAGGACGATATCACAGTCCCAATAACTTCTTGTGCCTGCTCCTTTAAGACTTTAGTGCCTTCCATTCGTGCGTCTTGCAGAGATATGACAGGGCAGACGTCATGAATCGAATGTTTTCCATCATATCATGTGTTCTCAAAGAGAATTCGACAAGACTGAGCCAACCTCCTCTTTCAGCTTCATCATACGCCCTTCGAGGCAGCCCGGCATGGACATGCATCGGCTAACACGGCGCGGGCCTAACATCCCCACGTTCCTTTCCCCAAGGCTCTTCTATGGTCGAGGGTTTGGTGAAGGCCACGGCAAGTCCGATGTACGTGCGTAGGCAAGGTTTGGAGCCTCGAGGCGAGCGAAAAAGAGGCACCAAGACGACCGCCAAGTGCCAAGAATTCCGATCACTCCACAACCACCATTAATGTTCGTCTCTTCAGGGCTATTTCCCCACAGTAAGCTGCTCAATGTAGCGAAAACATGCGAATGTAACGAATGCGATGCAACCTGTTCACGTTAGTTTGAACATATTTACGCCCTGCAGGTGCGATGGGGCGGACTACTGTTGCAGCCCATATTGACCTTGACACCGGAGTATGTCATCCATCCGATTACCCGTCTGAAAGACAGCGGAGCCTCTCATCTATTCCCAACACGTAGTCGCCAGTTGATGTCTCGCGGGGGGCCTGTTGCGGTGCGAGCCGCACACCCGTCACTGCAGGTACCTTGATGTCCTCTCCGCTCTTGGCAAACTCCGCTGGAAGACCGCTACGTCATGGTAGGTCCACCGTGAGGCTGATTCATACAGCAATGTAAAGACAGCATGTGCCTACTCTCGAAATGTTTTTGATGCTTGATACTTCCACTCATACCGGGTTGTATTGACTATCATGGCCAATTTTGTCCTCCTAGCTGCATCGCTCCTTCTCACCTCATGTTCCGCGCGAGAATCGAATGACACATCGACGGAAAGATGTCAAGGCCCCATTGACAGTATCGCCAAGGGTAACCAGTACTTCAACTCGACCGGAACAGCCCGCCTACCCTCAAACCAACTACACGATGACGACTGGTACGTCAGCGTCACCATCACCGATAGACGCGATCCGAATCACATCTACGGGACCGAAATGCCCTGGCAAGAGAGGGAAGCGTTTATAAGTGTTCCTGATTCGCTGGTTGGGAGTCAAGATGGCAATCAGACGGAGTACTGCGTCTACGAGCTCCCGGGGCAAGACGCCTCTTCGCAGCAGGAAGCTGGAGATTGCAGCGGCGTGCTGAGCGACGACTGCATTGACGCCTTGATGAAGAATACGCCGGTCATAGCGGATGGCCAATGTTATAAGCCAGAGAATGTCGAAGACGCCTGTGGGATGGTTGCATCGCAGCCAGTTGGTCAGTTTATCCCGCTCTTATCTTAGTTCAACGACATGATCTTGTAACCTGGCTCGCCTATGAGTACAGTAAGCTCATACTAACACCGAGAAAAGGCACACCATCGAACTTCAACAGTACCGAGTGCAGTTTGTCCGAGATGCCGCATGTCGAACTACCGGACAATTATCGCACCTACTACGCCCACTACGTGCCTGTATTTGAAGGCGGGGGTGGTTATGAGAATTTCGACCTTTACGATAGGCACGTTCGCGAAGCAGTGCCCATGGTCTTCACCATCAAGTCTCCAGGTGGCACCATCGCCCACAAGGCCGTTTGTGTAGCACCAAACAATGTCGTTGACGGTAGCCGTGTTCCAGATTCTGCTGCTGCTCAGTTGTCCTCCGGGGCTTCACTGGTAGCAGCCCTTATTGTTATGGCTTTTGTATCTGTTCTCTCCATAGCCTGATAAACGTTGGTGTTTCTGTACCTTTTACTTGCAGTTGAAGTAATGACCATCGCATCTGGTGACTTGTAGCATTAGCGCTGTAACGGTAGTAACACCGGGAATGACAGTTAAGCCGAACATCCAGCTTCAGCCAAAAGTATGATCGGGTGACCAGCAATGCGTCAAAGTCTCGGAGGTTGAAGCGACATGTTGGTATGCAACTGGTGTGGGCTGCAACTAAGTTTGGAGCGCGAGAAAAAGCAAAGAGATCGACGATATGTATGTCGCTGCCTCGAAGCAATACCCGGATACCGTAGACATGTGATCGCGGACAGGGTCGGCGTCTCGCTACACCCGGTGGTGGGCTGTATATTGGAAGACATGCGCGATAATGATTGTCGAGTCGGCAGACGTGTATAGCCGAGATCCTGTCGTGAGAGCTTGCTTGAAGGGT